CAAATATAGTTGAGATGTGAAGAAAAACTAGATTATGGCGATCCACGGGGGGAGGAGGTATTGGACTTTGAAACAAAGTTTCGGTCTGCAAAGTAAGAGGAGAGGTAAATTAATTCGCGGCCACGCGCAGCCTTTGCCCGACGAGACCTGTAATGGGAAGAGCCTTGCACATGTTATACAGGATAGGGGGGTAAGAGCTCAAGTGACCGGTGCACCCAAGTCGTTTGACGGAGTACTTCCCTTTCCAAGACGAAAGTCGCGTACTACCCCTGATTCCCTCTGCTCCGGCGCTATGCGTATAAATGTACGTACAACCTTCTAGGCCATCGGTTCCCCTGCGGTGACGCGAAGCTCTTGGCTCCATCAGTTGCTCTTAAGTCAGGGTAAACAAGCTCCTCGGGTATAATATTGATATCCTCTACGTTACGTACCAGTAACTTTTTTAGCCGAGCGATGGAAGCTGATTCGATTGCTCCTTCTAAATTTAAACGAATCCAATTAAAAATCGGCCTTTGCTGCTTTATTAAATTTTACGCGGGGGTTTTTCCTTTTTATTTTTTCTTTATTCCTATACACCGAAAAGCGCAACTTGGTCAACATTTCGATTAGGCTTGCTTGTTTTAAACGCGCACGTGTAACAAACTCTGATGGGGGAAAAAATGGTATAGTTACGTGTAACTTTGACGTGAGAAAATTTATTTTTCACGCAAAATATTTGTTTTTCATCAATGGCACGCTTTTGGGATGACGCGCTATCGACTCGTCATTTTCATGGAAGTTATTCTTTTTTTTATAATTAAATACAATTTGAAACGGTGAAAATCCCACGCGTATTTTATCCCGAAATAATATAAAGATACAATGCACGTAGCACTCGAAAAATCATACTGTTGTGTATAAACCAAGCGGGTCCTTGCGAGCCCCCGCTTCGTCCACGCCATGCAAATCGGCTAAGCGACAATAATCCAGCGCCCATTAAACTGCAGCTCGATGCGAGAGAAAACTCTGTCGTACATGGGTGTATGGAATAATATATGCATCCAGCCCGCGGGTCTCGAGGCGACGCAGCCTCCGACACTCGGACCGCGGGTTGTGCGTCACCCAAAGACCGGTGACGCGATTCGACACCAGCTGCTGCGGCTAAGATCCACGACTACTAAGTATATAATGGATGTACGAGAGTGAGACCAGCCAACGCGGGTTTGGGAGCGTTTCGTCATTTTCAAAAATCAACCGGCAATTTTCACGGTGTGGAGAAAATGTCAAAGAGCCGGAGGAACAGGCGGCGCGACATGTTAATAATCTAGATCAAGGAAAACTCACGAGTAAAGAGAGTAGTCTCGAGCGCAAATGATTAATTTATCCCCCCCTCTTTGTTTTCCTCCTCCTCCTCCTACGTGGAAGTACGGCACATTATATGGCGTGCTCCCCGTCTGCCAGGGCGTTATTTGTTAGCGGTCGTTTGCAGACCGAGTCGTCCTTCTGCTGCTTCCGGTAGGGATGACGACCACTTAAGCTCACTACTTCGAATCGATGTTTTGCGTGGGAAACCAAGTCCTAAAGTTCCTTCACGAAGTATACATTAGACCCTATACAAATTGAGCATTCAACCGTATACGGAGTCACTCTTTTTTTTTTTTTTCACAAAAATACAATATATATCATCGTTGAAAAATCTTACCTCCACTTAATTTTGTAATGACCGAGACAAAACATGTACACAGTGATCACTGACACCACTGTGGGTAATACTTACATGCATTTTATTACACATGGTGAAAAATGTTGGTGAAAAAACCAATGGTGTTTATGTATAAGTACATATGGGTACAATTATATAGATGTATATACAAAAGTGTTGAGTGTCGAAGGATTTGCGCGCACCCCCTTAAACCGAGAGTAATCGTCTTGCATGGCCCGACTATCCGGAAGACTAATAGCTCGTTCGCATCGAAATTATTGATGACGCGCGGCTGACTGGCGAATTTTTCACGGGTCCAGATTTTTTGTTCGAACACCCGTACGCCAACGCACCAAACCCTCGGGCTCCTTCCGCGCCATTCGTACACAAATATGGTCGATAAACGCACGGGGGACATTCCCCCAGGGACGGACTTGTCACGTCACTTTGTTTGAAATTTCTAAACCAGCTGTATACGCTGGTGGTGTAAAAGTAAATGTAAGTTCGCCCAGTGAAAAATAAGCCCGTCAAGCACTACCTATCAGCAGATCGCTAAGTGGTAAACACTGGGCGAGGAGAAAGTACGCCAAGTTAGCGCAAACCTGCCCATCGCAGATCCGCGTTTCGGCGGTGACGTCAGGCGCCCTGCACGGCTGCTGGATCATCAATCACTCGGGCTGTGCAACGGTGCAACCTGAATGTGTATATGCACACATTTTTCGGTTAAATAAGTCTACGGAGATCCAGCCGATGCGCGAGATCGGCACAGGCTGCACCAATACACGCTGTGATTGCAATTACCTTATACTCTATTGTTTTTCTGTATCAATCGTGTATAAACGCATTGTGTGCACAACTCGCACAAACGTATATATAAATAAAGCATACGCTGTTTTTCCTGCATACAGATTTTTTTTTTACATATATTTATATGTATATATATGCGTGTGTAAGAAATAAACTGATGTACTTAATTCATTACTGACTCCATCCGCGGTGACTTGGCAAGAATAAAAGACGTTCGAGAAAAATTCCACCAGAGACGGGCAGACGGATGGACATATCGTGGGGAAAGGGAAAAGTAAAGGCAGCAAATTAAACGATTCACGTAGTGACGTTCGGGATGAACGTCATTCCCGTGTTTGTTTCAATTTTTACGATTTTCGACTGTAAGCGTTATTCGTTGGTTTCTTTCTTTTTTTTTTTTTTTCTTCTATTATTTTGTTTTACTTTCACGAATCAAGGTTGCTTTTCCATACGTCCATTTTTTTTCGCTTTACTTTGTTGTTATTTTTATCCGTGTACGATGGACTTTATTCTAGAATTTTTCCCTGAAATTCACATTCACTGATAGCAATGGTCGCTTGTACTTGACAAACATTTATTTTTAATATTTATGAATATGTCAAAAGTTACGATTATTTTCAGTGTCATCACTGCCCTTATAAAGTCATTTATTTATCGATAGTCAATTAGTTGTTATCGATTATTGATTTGCATAATATGCACATGTCATAAATAGTTCGCAAATGCAGAACTATATATGCTACAGCTGTGCAATAAAATGATGCAACGAAAAAAATATATCATTAAAGAAATGTTAAATGGGTTATGGTGAATTGTCCAGTCATTACTGGTCAAAAGTGCGCACATAAAATATCAATTTTATCGGTGTCGAAAGTACTGTGTCGGACCTGTATTTATATTTTGATGAGTATTTTTTCGAAACAAAATCAGTCTCTATTAATTACTTTGGAAAATCATATGTTTATCTCTGCATCGATTCTGAGGGATTTGAAAAAAAAAATTAAAAGCTGCGTATTTTTAAGAGATCATACAAATCCTTTGGTAGATTTTAACGACATTTAGGCAAGATCGTTAATCAGAGTATTTTATCAAGCGATGTTTTTTTTTTCATTGTTTTGCGATTTTAACTTTTACGATTTGCAAAAAATATCTTATGATCAAATGATACTTCAAGAAATTGGAGTAGGATTTATCACGGGATTTCTCCGCAACTTGCGGACAAAAGAAAACTTTTTACATTCGAAATACAGAATCAGTTAAAGCGTCAGAAACTCGCGCATTTCGCGAGGAGCGATGATTGTGCTAAAATTTTCCGGGATGATTCGCCCACTGCTACAAAGAAAAAACCATTTCGAAAATAATCACAATCCAAAGTTTACATCATTTTTATTCATCAATGTCCAGTCGAGTCTCAAACTCCAATAACCACATACTTTACGTCAAGGGTAGTTTGTATTGTTAAGAAATTCCATCACTTCGGTAATAAGTACGAGCTCATTAACAAGCTCATTATCTGGCTTTCATCTCGATACACGCTGCAACTGGCTCAAGATTTAATCTTTCTTTATTTTGAACAAAAGTACTTAAAGATCACAATATAGTTATACGTGTAACATGGAATTTTTTTTTTTTTTTTTTTTTCTTTTACAACCGTACATCCACTTAAAAAATATACTTTTCAATCTGACGAGTTATTGAGCAATTTCTCGACCATAACTTGAAGTATTCCATAACATGCTTCACATATACGTAGCTCATTGCACAAGTTTATATCCTGTACCATATACCCATGATACTACAATCTCCAACCATATGACGAGGCAAGAGATAACAAACGCTTTTTACCGTAAAAAAACTTTTCATTCTCGCCGCCATTTGAATTTATCCAACGAAGCGGGCATAATTTCGCGCATCAAAGTATATATATGTCGAGTCCAAAGTTAACCCCAACCCTGCTAATTAGCAAAGAAGTTTGAGAAAGAGAAGTTTTTACAACAACAAAAAGTTGTTATTTTTCGTACCCCTAAACCTGGGAAACCCCAAGGGATGACAAGAGCAAACAGAGTAAGCTGCAATTACGTACAGGTGGCACTCGAAGCTCTGGGCAAATCGGCGCGTGCCACCTGTCGATTACTGATTCAAGAGGCCACGCCGATAAACAACATTATTTAAACTCTATGAAAATGAACAACATAAGCATATATATGTGTGTGTACTCCTGACAGTACTCAAGCCATGGGAAGCCGACAATGACGTCCTCCTGGAGTCTCGTGCGCGAAACCAGAGGAACGACACTCGGAGGGGTTGGTTGCTCGTGAGGATATACAGCTACACACGAAGCAGCGGTGATGGATGGGTGGGGGGGGGGGGGTAGCGCAGCAAACGGGAGTACCGATTGGCCGGCCGCGTGGGCGCACGTACACCCGCGAGGGAGCAGAGTAGCGCGCGCGGGCTTTATATAAACGCGGGTCGGTCCTCGCTGCCGCGCACTCATCTTTGGCACCCCCGGCCGGCGACTCGCAGCTCTACCCCCGTCAGGACTCGCACACGACTCGACTGCGCAAAGTTTCCTCCACGGCCAGATTCGAGAAGTCCAGCCTCGCTTCCAACAGGTAGGTCCCACTGTACATTTATTACTGGCGAAAAAATGAAATACCAATAGCAATGACGTTCCCACGTATACCAACTTTCGCGCGATGTAAGAGTTTCATAAATTTCAAGCGAGCAACTTGGCACGATGCCAATCGCGCAAATAAAAGGGCCATCCGATGTATATATAATCTATAGTCCCTACGGGCAGTTTGCTCTTGAAAAATAGTCATACGTGGCTCAAACTACCGATTTTTTTTTTTTTTTTTTTTATAAAAAAAAGTCCCCGGCAAATTTTAAGATCAAGTATGGTGAGCTTTTCGCGCAAACGGGGGGAAAGTGTCCGGCGAATGGTTTATATCTGCTTCGCCGATACGACGCGGGGAATTGAAGGGGAGAAAAAAGAAAAGTGGAGTAGGTATCGGTAAAACTTGGAGGAGATAAGAAAACGAGGGTGTCGCGAGTGAAAGTATTTTTATCTATTTACGTTTAAAGCGTGGGATTCCCAGTGATACGGTAAATACGCGAAAGGAGAGCGCAACCGAATGGGAGCACCGAACAATCGCGCCTGATGCGTAATCGGATAAAAAGTAAAAAGAGGGACAGAGAAAGAAAAGTAAATTTGCGATTGTGCTTCGGGGAGCTTTTTTCCCTCCCTCGGAGTTGGTGGGTAAATCGGCCGCGGATACTTCTCGTGTACTGCCACAATGGATTCAACCCCTCACTTCCCGCTTCCAACTGTATTTTTATTATCAAGAGATAATGTCTACTTGTAATACCTTACGATGGGCTTCTTTTTTTTTTTTTTTTTTTTTTTCTTCTTCTTTTTCCAATTCGTGCGAGTAACTGAAAAGACGGATTACACCCGAACAATGAGATTTCTCTTTGATCTCTCGTTTGGAAAGTCTTTCTACCAATTTTGATCATGAATTCTAATATCTGGATGGCGCAACCACATGATGAGAGATCTAGTAAAGATATTAATAAGAAATTACATTATTTTTTATTCCCTGTGACATACATAATGCATGCTTACGTACAAAAATCTCTTCGTTTGACGATATAGCGCGAGTACGAAACAGGGAATTAATTTTTTATGCGCGTCATACGTACCCCATTTTGGAAGGAGTCAGATAAAAATTGTAAAAATAGTACACGTATGTATTATCACGTTCGCCAATGCATTCGACTATACGTTCTTTGGGCAAAAATTGTACAAAGTTGTCAAACAATTAACTTTACCGGCACTCGAAAGTTTGTTACATTGTACGGGCTGTATGTACGCGCACCTCTGCATTGTTACTCGCACGAGGCACGAGGTTCGATACAAAAGACCAAGTACGCGTTTTATAAAAGTTTGCGCAATATTCACTCGACCATTTTGACGTGCGGTTTTAATACGTGAATCATGGCCACAAGCTGGTGAATGAATTTTAAGAAAAGGTACACAGGGTTGCAGGAGAAATTGGGTGACGAGCAAAACCATGTCGGTGTAGGGTATAGCGGCTCTTTTTCCTTCTCGCCAGTATAGGCTTCCCCTAAATTTTCTCACCAATTTATATACATAACCCAGATAGATACAGGTGGGGGTGAGAAAACGTTTGCCGACCACTCGAGCCTGCGTGTATATCGATTGTCACAACGACCACTTTGACGCGTGTATCTCGAATTTACGTCACGACCGAAGAGTACAATCGTTCAGGCATCCGGGCTTGCACGGAAAAACGTACCGAATTAATAATGCACATCTCTACCTATACACGATACGTCTCATGATAATGCAGTATAGAGTGTCGTCATTATCGTAGTTATTGTGTACGTTATCGCGATGTGAATCTTCATGGCCGGTCTTAGCTTTGCTTTTTCCCCAGGAATTTTTTTTTTTGTTCTTCTCCAGGACCCTAAATTATTATGAAATCAACGGTGCTCGAGTTGATATTTGATGAAAACCCACCTTTACACGGGATGAATAGTATAACATCACTCATCAACCCTCCTCCAATAGTTATACGATGATCATTAACTTTTGGTGTCGATGAGCAAAACTGAGGGCGACTATCCGCGTCAAACTTTTGAAGAAAAAAAATGTAGAACGTACCCCATCTTTGTACAATTATGCTCGTCGAAAATAGCTTGACCCGATGAAATAATGTATTCAGGATCATTCGTTTCTCGCGCTTTGGAGGAAACAAGTCTCTTTTTGTATGATGTGGATCCATCGGGTAATTATCCACTAAATGAAAAATTACCAGTTGATACTGTGGTGGGAGGGATCGGCAGTTGGAGATAATTGATGTGAAATACCTACTCTATGGCAGCACATCTCCATCGAAAATATCCACAGTGCCTATAACATCCACGTATACATAAACATGTATGTATCACACACGAGCGACAAACGAGTTTTCACAGTTCCGCCCCATGTATCACGTCGCCACCTGTGATTCACGAAGCGATGGGAAGAAGATGAGGGTGAAAGAGAAGGGGAGTATACATGCAGGTTTGGGGCGAAATAACAGATGACATTTGATTTCGATACGAATGTGGTGTGGTGCGTGTATGCACGTGCCGGTGAAAATAGATTGCCAAGGCCGTAAGTTGCTCCCGCGGAAAGGATCAACCGGTGGTTTTAGAGCTGTTTACAAATTCGCGTATACAGTAGAGCATAAATCTTTATAGTATTACGTAACCAATTCTTTGAATCAGATTTATACATGATTTAATACAAAAAAGTCATACAGATGGATATCGACGCCTATACATACAAAAAAGAGCCGTATCAATTGAAAAAAGTTTTTTCCGCCCTCGGGTGGTTTTGGGAGGCTGGTACTTCCTCGGGCGAAAAAGCAGTTTTCCGGAACTCGTTCGAAAAGTCTCCTTTACGAACATCGTTAAGGGCCTCGCCTTCGGCTCGGGCCGCAAACCTCTCGGTTCGCAAACAGAGACTTTTCAAACTCGTAGGAAAACTACTATTTTTTTTTTGCACTTTGAAAATTATCGTACTGCACGACGATCAAATATAAACTATACGCTGAACATTTTTTTTCGAAAGCAATTTCGTGGTTGGAGGACAAGGTTCGTTTGTCACTTATCCTCCTCAAGTCAGCTGCCCCCCGCCAAAAAAAAAAAAAGAAATAGATAAACACAAATATATTTTTTCTACAAGTTTAGATGTTAAAACAAAAAAAAAAAAATCTTCAAGCGCAATCTTTCTGTCTAGTATAGGTACATTTCGCACGGGACACCCTTTTCCCTTGAATCTTTTATAGCTGGTCGAGCGTAACGTATTTTCGTCCCAAGGCCACAGGTATAGTGAAACCGATTTGGTCTCTGTATTATTGTTGTATACTGTACTTCTCCCCAACGTAATGCAATAACAAAGGTAAAGGGTCCTCTCCAGGTGGCTCGTTACATTTCTCGGCTAGCTAAACGACAACAACGGACAGACGGGCAAAACGGCCCAGAAAATTTGCCACGGGGGAGTCGAAAAACGGAGTGAGAGAGAAAAGTTGCGGCGGCGACCACGAAAATCGGGCGCCCGGGAATTCTCTTTCTCTCTCTCTCTCCGGTCCTGCTCGTCCACCACGACTCGTCGTGCAATTTATTTACAAACGCGTGCAAAGAACAAATTACAAGCCACCCCACCTTCCGAGAGGGGACGCGTGCGGCCATTCGTTTCGCTCCCGAGGAAAATATTTATATAAATTTGGTCCCGGATGCCGCTCACGCCACTACACTGTTATACCGGCGTGTATGTGTCATCCGAGGAAATGGGAAAATTTTTCCGCCCCTATTATTTCCGTGGCATGATTTCTTATTTCTCTGCAGCCTCGGAAGTGCGTGCCCTTATTTTTACTTCTTACACGGCCAATCAGCCCCTCCGTCCGTTTTCTCGGATGCACTGGATGTACTTATTCCATAAAGTTACAGAATCTCTTTTTTTTCCCCTACGAGCATAAAAGGTATGTTTAACACCTTACGAGTGTATATTCAGCCAAACGAATTAAAATTAGGAGTAGGTATATATGTGGCAACATCGACGATTTCGTGGGGTCAACTCGGAAAGATCCTTCTTGAATTTCAACGGCTCCCCATCGAGTGCGTTTTATTCCGGTCACAAGCACGATCATCGTAACTATACACTCTGCGTGGCCCGTCGCCGTGTTGTGCCGTAACACCACTGAATATAACCCAACGTGTATACCTACATCTATATTCATGCAGTATGCATTACGTGACGTTTGCCCGCGATACATACATGTATAAGTTGGAATCTGCTTGCGCGCAAAAGTTTAATTTTTTTTCCCCTCCCGCACGCCCCTAGTTCAGGGGGGATTTCGCGTTTAGCCCGATACTTTCTATACATGCTCGTTCGACGTTGGTTGGGGGGAAAAAAAAATGTGCGTCGTGGAACAACCTCAATTATAGGTATACATCGGCTTGTACCTTCTTTTTTGCTCGTTTATTTGTGTAAGTAAATAAGAGAGCGCGGTGGCTCAGTCGGCTGGGTCGTGGATTGACACGCGGGAGACAGTGGTTCGATTCTCGGCCAGTGCGACATTGTCGGGCAAGTACCTCTGTGATTTTTCACCACGCAATGCTCCTCAAGGAGGATTTAGGCGACCTTCTCGCAGCATAATTGCCTAATTTCCCCCTACCCCCTCCCTGTAATGGGGGGCCTCCCCATCCCTTTCCTTGTCCCTTTCCCAAGTGCTAAGTGCCCATAGTAGTGCCCCTTATTAAAGGAGCCGGACGTAGAGCACTATAATATAAAAAAAAAAAAATTTGTGTTTATACATCCTGCTTGGTTACACATATAATATATAACACGTGCAGCGCTCGTAATGTCACGCAACACTTGCCATACAAAAGGTGTCATTGGTTCTTGAAAACAAAGGTTGCTTCATTCGCTCGTTCAATCGCACGGCAACAAAAAAACACTCGGTGAGATAACGCGTATACGACAACAGTGCATCCGTTTTCATAAATATCCCTGCGACCGTCGGCAGAGAAAAAATTGAAA